GGGGGGGGGGGGGACTTCGGGCACGTCCCGGGGCCGGGATTTTGTTCTCAGGCTTGAATTGGGGTGCTGAAGTTGCGCTAAGCAGAGCCTAAGACGCCTTGGTGCCGGGACTGCATGGGCATTTGCCACCGGCGCGTGGCTGGGGCGTCTCCGGAGCCCGAGGAACACCTAGCTGGGCACTTAGGGACTAGAAAGCGCGGAGTGTCCCGCAGCCGGGGTCTACACAGGCCGTCGCCCGAAGCAGTGCGACATCGGAACCCTTATCTAAACCCTCTCCGTGCGGGGTCCAATCAGTTCTTGGGATTGGGGAGTGATGGGGTGGGGGTGGAGTCTTTCCCCTCCCTGTTCCCAGGCTCCGGGTACCAGGGCCCCAAACGTCGTGCCCTCCGAGATGCGGGCCTGCGGCGAGGCCTCCCGGTGTGCCAGCCCCTCGGGACCTCTCATTGCCCACGACGTGCGCAGCCCTTGGGGCCTGGAAGGTTAGGGGGAGGGAGGCTCATGCGAGCGGTTTCGGCACCGGCAGGGCCTCCCAGCCCACCTGTCCCCCACAGCTGGCTGCCACCTCGGACGAAGGCACGAAGCAGCGCGATGCGAAGCGCCCAAAGCGAAAGGAATGCGATTGCGCTCCCAAGAGGGAGCCGGACGCGGGTGCAGCTCAGGAAGGGCGCCGCCTACCGGTCCCGGGAGCCACGCGGTTCGCAGGGGGAGGAGGGGGGACTGGGCAGGACCCCGCTGGACCCCCGACCCTGGGGATCCTAGCTCTGAAATCCGGGCCAGACAAACTTATGCAGCTTCGACACCCCAACCCGCCACGGCCCTGGACCCAGGACCCAGTTAGCATGGAGAATTCGGGGAGCAACATGATCAGAACAGTTTTAACCCTACGGCTTCCCGCCCCGTTCCGCAGTTTCCGAAACCAGGTGGCCTGCGGTGGCGAAACAAGCCGGCGGCGGAACAGCCGGCGGGCGGGGGGCCGTGCGGCGCGCTCGGCTCGGCTTCAGGTGCGCACGCCGGCTCCCGCGGGCCGGCGCGCTCCGGCTCTGCGCCCCGCGCCGTGCTCCTGTGCGCTTTGGCTTGCCGGGAGCGGGGG